TTTTTTGTTTTTGTTTTTAATGGTAGCATGTTCCCGGAGCTGATTTAAACATCTGCATTTCTTCCGTACCCCAGAACCTCTTCTGTACTCCCAGAGTTCAGCAGCAGAACAGAGGCTCAATAAATAACCAATTAATGCTTAGGCACGCAGCCAAGAGAAGCTTTCTGCAGTGAGCAGGGCAGGGTGAAATGCAGAGATTTATGACTCACTGAAAATGTGTACCTTCATCTTTACAGCCTAGGCCAAACCAACATCCTGTAGGTGTAGTCGTGGCCGAGCAGAGTTACCACAGGCACTAGGTACAAAACAAAGTTGAGAAAGAGTAAGCACAATCGGTCTGTAGACTGGAGCCTCTGACCTTGACTTGTCCTGTCAGCGCAAAGGAACCTAAGCGAGGCAGTGTTTGGAGGGAGTGGGGGGAAATAAAGGTGCTCGCTCTGTGATGCTAGGGAAATCCGTCTCTGACCATTGTGTGTGCGCTGTGTGCTGCTCGGAGAGGCATGGCCGAAAGCAGCGAGCGTGCCCCAGAGGCTCACGGGTGAGTCAGTGGTGAAAGGAGAGCAGAGAGGGTGAGAAAGGCAGTCGCCTTGTGAAATGTGTGCGTTCATTTAAAGCTTGTTCCAGGTGCCACAGAAAAATAATGACGGGGCTCTACACTTACATACTTGGTGGAGTTGATGTTACAGATGTCTCTCTGTCTTTGTTTCAGGATTACAGAGTGAGTCAAATTGACTTATTTACGGAACCAGAAGGGTTAGGACTTCAGAATTCCTACTTTGATGATACCGAAGAAATACAGGGATTTGGTTTAATGCATAAAACTCGTTCCATTAAAGTACATTGGGGCACGTAAGTATTTCAGATCCCAATTTCATGAAGCTTTTTGTGGGCAGGATTATAGTACGGGGCAGGGAAGATGAAGTATAGTTTCTCCAATTCATTGGCCTGTTAAGTAATTATTCACTTGGAGGAATGAGGACAGGAAGTGTAGACTGTCACACCGTAGAGCAGCCGTTTCTTATCCAGGCGACCTCCCCAAGACCTATGAAAGGTGCCTGCCTTCCAGGCACGAGTGAGATATAACAAGGAAGCACTGTCGTGCTTTGTAAATACACAAAGGCATGCGCGTTCGGACAGCATTTAGGGTAATGTTAAGCATATTGTTAAAGAGCCCCTTTGGATGCATGAAGTTACTTCCCGAGAACAGTTCAAGGGCTGCTGCTGTAGAACTGCATGGACGAAGTCATACCACGTGGTACCCTGAAGGCCTTCACAAGGGAGCTTGATGGCTCAGTGGTTGAAGCGCTGGACTGCTGGCTAACAGGTGGGAGGTTCAAACCCACCGGCCACTCCGTGGGAGGAAGACATGGCAGTCTGCTTCCATAAAGACTTCCATAGCGCTTGGAAGCACTCTGGGGCAGTTCTTCTCTGTCCTGGAGGGTGGTTCTCAGTTGGGATCAACCTAACAGGAGGGAGTTCGGTTGTGGTTTAGGCCTTGACAGGCTGATGAAGTTTCTGAAGGTGAATAATTGAAAATGCGCAACGAGGAAAACTTGTTGTTCGGTATACGCTCTGGCTGTGGCACAGAACAGATCAAGGACACCATATCCATGAGACGCATCCGTTCACTTGGTACATCTGCTTAGTCACTCGCTCACTGAGCATGCTGCGCACCAAGTGCTCTTCTGAGCACCACTGCAGGAGCAAATTGCCGGGTCTTTCCTGCAGAGCAGCTGGTGGATTCAAACCACTGACTTGGTTAGCGGTTTAGGGCTTTAACCCCACCAGAGCTTCTTCTCGCTTAGGAATAGACTGCGAGCGCAGGTGCAAGGTGTCAGGGGATGTACTAAAGTCCTTCAATGCTACAAGAAACAGTTGCAGAGGTCCAGTGAGCTGTGCAGTTGCGGAGGGAGTGGCTGGGAAGACGTGGAAACAGAGCTCTCAGCGAGTGAGGGGGGCAGCTGTGCAGCTCGTGTGGGGAGGAGAGAGAGCCAGGTGCCCCACGTGGGAAAAGCAGCACAGGCAAAGCCCAGCTTGGTAAGTTTGGGCAGCAGTCAGGAGGCTTAGGTGGC